TATGGATTGTATTAGCATCAGAGGAGATGCTTATTTGATCACTGTAACTCTGTCCTTCCAGACAAATACTTTTGAAGCTTATAATGTGTTACAGGGATTACCATTACCAAGGGGGAACTTACTTCCATTTCCACCTCCATTACAACATTGAGCATGTTTTAGCTCTGTCTGTAGCTCCAGCCCTTCCAAAGTATTCTGGCAATGTTGAGTGTTTTGCAGTTGGGGCTCATCAGAAGGCTGTTTGAAAGGGAAATAAACTAGTGCCTGTGTTCTTTGTAAGAAAAATAACAAGCAGACAAGCTTTGTAAATGTTCTGTGAAAGATGAAAGAGAGATCATTTGACAAACTCACTTTCTTTTTCCTTTTTCTGTTTGGTTTTGCTGCTGTCAGGATAAGGAAAGGTAGAGGAAGTGTTTCCTTATTCAAAGGGTCAATGTATTCAAGACAGGAGAGGAAAATAGCAGGAGAATGGATAATGAGACTAATGAATTCTGAGGAGCAGAGCTTTTATAGGCACCCCTTTGAGCCAGAGGGATTTTAAAACAGAGCTGCTGTAAAAGAAGATAAAAGTGGACACAGAGTAGAATATCCTGACATATGGTTAGACTTAAGATAGAACAGCTGTAATAAATAGAAGTTAAGATCACACATGACAAGTGTGATTGCATAAAAACTATTTGTTTTTTATGACAGATTCATTTGTAAGCTGTGTCTTAAAACATACACAAGCTGACTGCGTGTTATCCCCAGGTAGAAGCTAAAGCTGTGCAGAAAATTGTTGTAACTGCTTTTATTTGTCAGAGCTGGCTGTTCAGCAGGTCTAAGCAGACAGATGCAGACCTTGCATGTGTGCCTTAGCCCAGGCATTGCTAGGAAGCTATATGTTATTCTTGGGAGTGACAGAGTCAAGAATACTTCTGTTGGAGAAAGCAGCATTACAGCATCAGGCATTGACCATGCTGAGGTATGAGGCAGTAGACAAGGCCACTACTTGCATTTTCAACCCACGTGACCCTCCAAGAAAAAGACCAGAAGCGTAATTGTTACCATCCTACCAGCCTTCTTTCAAAATTGCAAGTTGTCATGGACTAATGACCCATAGGCCTAATTGGGTAGGTGTCTGAGAGCCTTAGCTAACTGCAGAAGGACATGGTTTGAAAACCAAGATGCGTGCTCTCTGCATGACCTGCAGCAAAGCCTCAGCTGTGTATTCCCAGGTCTGAGTGCTGGGTGGCTGCAGCTTGACTTAAACAATGGAATTTTCATAGTCGTGATGGAGAGAGGCGTGAGAAAACATCAGAGTGTGTTTTAGTTTAGGTGTCTTTGTGCATATAGTATTTTCCATGTGATCTCATACAGATAGGAAAATTCAGGTATTCTGAAAAATACCTTCCTTGTATTTTTTCTAACTTGCCACTCCAGACACACGTACATGCTTCACTGCAAAATGTTTTCTTTATTTTCCTCAACATACTTTGCCTTGATTTGTTAAGATGTTCAATCATTAATTCTGTAACTTTTGACACTGTGTGAACTACAGGAACTCTGCTTCTAAAAGTTCATCTGTAAATCTTGTTACGAATGTAATGAATTTGAAAAATTTTAAGGGATTTGCTAGAAGCAGAGGCTTTAGTAACACTACCGTGCGATTGTTATTGCAGACTCTGAACTCGCCTTGATGTACAATGACTCATCAGTACTGGAGAATCATCACTTAGCTGTGGGCTTCAAGCTGCTGCAGGAAGAAAATTGTGACATTTTCCAGAATTTGACCAAAAAACAGAGGCAATCATTGAGGAAAATGGTCATTGACATTGTGAGTTCTGCTTGAGAGTCTCTCTTCCATAGTGCTAGCAAATTGAATAATGAAGCACAGAAGCATTTTTATGATAAATTACATGTCATTAGACCCATAACCAATGAAGTAAAAGTTTGAAGTTTTATTCTGTCTTATCCAAACGTGAATAGTGGGTTCATTTCAGTTTCAATAAATATCTGTACCTTTTTAGAAGGTATACAATCCTGCTTCAGGCTGTTTTCGTACTGACATGTATGCCATTTCACCACCACGGTTAGAAATTTGCTACTGAATTCATGATGAATTTAGGCTGATCTGTTCAGAATCAGATAATCCTGAACAATCATTTTATCATATTCTTAAAATAACCAAAATGAAAACTTAACTATTTTGGACACTAATGACATACAGAACTCAGACTTTTATAGTGTATTTAGGCACAAGAGTTATGGGTTCCCCCAGAACTGTTTATGTGTTCAAGGTTTTTTTTAAAAATCAATAGAACAATTAATGTAATATTCATTTATTTGTTTCTTTCAAGGTACTTGCAACAGACATGTCTAAGCATATGAATCTATTGGCTGATTTGAAGACTATGGTTGAAACCAAAAAAGTGACCAGTTCTGGTGTCCTGCTTCTTGATAACTATTCAGACAGGATTCAGGTAAGAAAATTCATCTGCAGATGGTCACTTTTATTAACTTACATCCTTAATAACATTGGCCTGCCCATTCACCAGCATGGGTTAGATCAGCTGTCCATTCTCACACCATGACTCACTACCTTCCTTCTACATCCTTTTATGTTTCCTACCTGTGAAATACTTAGGTACTGAGTATCCTCTCTGAGAGAGTAACTAGGTGCTAGAGTACATCTTGACTAAATGAGGCTTTGGCCTTCCCTCCAAATTATCAGCACCTGGTTGGTCTTTCCCTCAAAGATTTTCTGTCCCTTATACAGGCAGAAGCAGCAGAAGCAAGGTAGTTCATGGCTATTACTTCAAGTGTGAAAAACACCCAAGCAGATAAGTTTTTACTTTTTAGAATACATCTTGCACTACATGTATTTTCAAGATTCTGTTTCACAGCCACCGAAAGTGTAAATGGAAAAGGAGCTGTTTTTCTCCAGAGTAATAACACCACAGGTGTTCAATCTATTTTAGGTTCTTCAGAATATGGTGCACTGTGCAGATCTAAGCAATCCAACCAAGCCACTCCATCTCTACCGCCAATGGACAGACAGAATAATGGAGGAGTTTTTCCGTCAAGGAGATCGCGAAAGAGAGAGGGGAATGGAGATAAGTCCCATGTGTGATAAGCACAATGCATCTGTAGAAAAATCACAGGTAATTGATTTGAGTAGGCAGTTAAATAACACAGTGTGACATTTTAACAGAAAAGGAGGGTGCATAGCCATGTTTCGATTAATTTCTGAATGCACTATTTCCCTTTTTTCATTCTAGTTAATTAATTCAGCTTGTGAGTAGTAAGTGAGGGGAGCTGAGATTTTTACTGTGAAAACACAGTGCATGGCAGTGTGTTTGCTGAAGGGATTCCATCACTGTCATGACCTGCAATGTAGCATGCACATCAAAAGAGAGTATTGTACAGCTGCTCATTAGGGTTTCCTTCAAAAACAGAATTAAATATAAGGCAGCTGTTTGGCTCACTGGATGCAGTGGAGTTGTTTGGAATGAACAGTTCATTTGAAAACCAAATCCTTTCCAAGTCCTTATCCAATATCCTGAATCAGACTTTTGAAATGTAGAAGACCCTATTTACTATATAAACCAGCATGGTTTCCTTTCAGCCACCAGTAAGGGTAGTGCATCTAGTGTATCTTAGTAGCATATTTCTCATACTTTGCATGACTTACAGGCATAGTTGTTTATTTCTTTGTGAATAAGAGGTCATACTAATTTTGTATTATTTGAAATAGGTGGGTTTCATAGACTACATTGTTCATCCTCTGTGGGAGACATGGGCAGATCTTGTTCACCCAGATGCCCAGGATATCTTAGATACACTGGAGGACAATCGAGAATGGTACCAGAGCACAATCCCTCAAAGTCCCTCTCCTGCACCTGATGACCAGGAAGAGGGTAGGCAGGGCCAAACTGAAAAATTCCAGTTTGAGCTAACACTGGAGGAAGATGGTGAGTCAGACACCGAAAAAGACAGTGGAAGTCAAGTAGAAGAAGACACCAGCTGCAGTGACTCCAAGACTCTTTGCACCCAGGATTCAGAATCCACTGAAATTCCTCTTGATGAGCAAGTAGGGGAAGAAGTAGAAGAAGAGGAGAACCAGACAGAGCCTTGTGTGGTAGAAGACCATTCTCCTGACACGTAACAATGAAGACTCAGTCTCTTTCTCTGTTGCCCTCTCCCTTTCTTTTCTTCTTTCTCTCTGTGGGGTTTTTTTTTTTTGGTTGTTGTTTGCTATTTAATTAGGTAATGGTTTCCAAAGTGTATGTCATATGCTACAGCCATGGTCACAACTCACTGTCATCTTGCCAGAATGTTTGTTGATCAAAACTGACCTTGATGACTCAGTTTGGCACTCAGGAATATTGTAACCAGAATTTTCACCTCCATGGCATCAGAAAGCAGGGGGGATAACATCCATAAACTACATTTTAATAAGCTCTCCATTTGGCAGATTTGATTAAATAAAGCAAATGTTTTCAGAGGAGTACCACGTGCCAACTGAATGCCGGTATGCTTTGACAGTTTTTGAATTCATTGTGTTTCAAAAGCAAAGCATTGGATAATGTTCATCATGAGAGGAAACAAAATAAACTGAGGTTCCTTCTGGAAAACAAAGTGCACATAAATGATGGGACACAAGATGATTCTGTTACCAATAGGAAGATGAGCTGTGGAAATTGCATAAATTTCTAAAGTCTTCCTAATACGTGACTGAAAAAAGTGTGATCCAGTGAGTTGCACTAACCTCTGCAATTTGTATAGTATGCAAAAGAGAGATCTTTTGTAGAGCTTACTTCTATTATTAAATGTACTGAGGTATTCTATTTAAAGAAAAACACTTTCAGACTTCATCTGCCACTAGTTATTTTTTTTCCAAAGACTAACTTGCAAGTTTTCAGTACAAATCTGTGCTACACTGGATAATACTTCTAGGTTTTTTTCCTTTCCTTCTGTTTTTGGCACCTTATAATCTCATGGTAATATTGAGCTGTAAGTCTATTATTTTATATATTAGTGAGTTCCATGAATATCCTTTATGTTATGTAAAACTCTTTCAGTATGATAGCTTTTTGTTCGTTTGTGTTTCATCACAATTTTCCCAAACGTATTAGAGGAACTTAACTTGTGCTTTTGCCCTCATAGTGGACTGATCCTGCGAATTCTGTCTTACTGCAAGAAGTGGTCCCAGTGATACCAACTGGGACCAGTAAGCTGTGGATTTGCAGGACTAGAGCCCGTAAGAAAGGTAATGAATTGTCACCGTAATACGAAAGCAGCTCTTCTTCTCTACTAGTAAAATTTGTCCCTCTGAAACATGTTTCCAGATAATTTTTGGCTGGGACCTATAGACTGCTAAGTCAGAACAGGCTAATACAATGTAAGGAATATTTGTTCTGGTGAAAAAAGCATTAATGTAATATTTCCAATTTTGACTCTCTTAATAACTTTTTATCTATGTCAGCTATCTGGTTAAACGATTTGCTAATCTGAGATGTGTACAACATAAAAATAACGATTAGCTTTATTTTTTTGTGTCTTTGTTGCAAGAAGAGCCAGGTCGGTCTTGTCTTTCTATGTTTTTAAGTAAGTAAGCAATGCATCATGGGAATTGTAGTTCACTCCACATTATTTCAATCTCAGATCTTTTCATCCCTTATCCACCTTGTGCTGAGGGAATCCTGCATTTCAGTTTGATTGGTACTGAAAGCTTCTGTAACTTGGAAAGTTAAGGGGAGGTAGGAGTTCATATTTGTCATTTTCCAGTCCTGTTGTTTGGTCACGTGAAAGAAGAAAGAAATCTATTTCCTCCACTTTACTCTTTATTAAAATTATAGTTTTGAGCATAGAAGATGGGAAATAGTTGCCTAGGGAAGCTAGCAGACTCCCACTCTGTAAAATTCTGGTAAAATGACAGTATCAAAATGATTCTTTACAAAAGATAGCAACACCCATTATTTCCCCTTTGGATTAATTTTGTAGTAAATTTGCAACTATGAATACAGGGGATTTTTTAAGTGTCTGAGATCTACAATAAAAACCTGTTTAAAAACAATTGGCTAATAATTCAGCTTTTAAATGCATTTTGCATTCTTCTATATCCAGGTCATAGTTTTCTCTACCTTTAGCTCTCACAGGGCCTTAGCACAGAAGATGCTGAAGGAGGAAATAGAATGAAGAGAACTTACGGGTTTTTTTTCAGGTTTTGACTGGGTTTTTTTTGTTCTTCATCATTTCTTCCTGAACCTGCTCCATCTAAAAATCCTTTCAATCCCCAAGAGTGCCTGGAACCTTAATAATGGAAAAGCAATATAAATTCAAAAATAACCAATAGGGATGTGGAAAGGTTTTGTATCTGCACTAATTGAAAGTAAATGAGAAGAATAACCATATGGAGATACATATACATACATGTGGACAATCAAATATTTGAGAATTCTATCATTTCTTAGAACTGGGGATATAATGCACTGTACAATCTTTTTTCCTCTTTTGCCAAAGTGTGTTTTAGCATTGTACACTGCTTTAAAACAATACAATTTACAAGTGGCTTTATGTGTTCTGAATATTTTTGCCATAAGTAAATGCAGTGAGTGGGTATTGAGTGGGGGGAAAAAAGAAAATTCACCTTGCTTATAACAGTACACTTTAGCTTGCAAGTTACTGTACTCAATAATGCTGTATTTGAATTAAATTGTTTTGTGTCATTAAAAAACAATAATGAAAGAATATAGATAGAAGAAAAAGCATTCAGAAGTTTAAAAAAACTTGAATGAAATGGATTTTACAGAAGGCTTTGATAGTTCTTTTCAAATGTATTATTTATTTTATTTGTGCCATGCATTTTTCTCACCAAATGACCTTACCTGTAATACAGTCTTGTTTGTCTCTGTTTACAACCATGTATTTATTGTAATGTACATACTGTAATGTTAATTGTAAATTATCAGTTCTTACTATAACATCATCCTTGTCAGGGTGGTGTTGCTATCTTTGGAAACTCTTGGTGAGAGAATGATTATTGTGTATACATATTCCTTGTACATTTTTTTCTCCTGTAATATATTCAGTGTCACCTTAGAGCTTGTTTATGGAAGATTCAAGAAAAGTATAAAATACATAAAGATATATCAATAAAAAAAGCTGCAGGTCTTTGGTCCCAGGGCTGTGCCTTAACTTTAAACAATATTTTCTTCTGTTTTGCTGCATTTAAAAGTAAGGTAGCTGTGGGGCTAGGGCTGGGCATTTCTACCATATTTTTAGTTGCTAACTGATGGGGTTACTTGTACAAGCTAATATGCATGATACTACAATGAAGCTTTCATTCATGACCCTACTGGAAGTTCAAGCTTTTCCAGACATCTGGCAATATAATTGTATTGCCTGTCTGATTGTCTTTTTACAGGCTATCATCAGGGATTGTTGCAGCCATTTTTTGCTCCTAAAAAAAAAAAATAATTGATGCTGTATTTCAGTACTGAATTGCACTGAAACAGCTTTGGAAAGCATCTCTAATAGGCTATAACTCATACACTTTTACAATTGTCTGTAATATCCCTTCTTTATTTAGTAGCACAAATTATCATTGTATAAGCAGAATCCATAAAGTAGGGCAGAAGACAACTTTAATCTTGGAAATGCTTTCCAACACCAATATTAGTGTTATAAGCAGCCAAAGTTTTATTTTATATAGATGTATCTAAGGCTTTGTACAGGTGTGTATAGCATAATGCACTAGATCTACAGGAGAGTGGTAAAGCTTTAGATCAGTAACACTAGTATTAGGTTTGCAGGTTGGACTGAGCATCTCTCGCTGTTTGACTTGGCATGTTGTCACTTGTCAGACTACTCAGAGCTGATACCAATGAATTTGCCAGAGTGGGGTAAATACCTCCTCCATTCCAGCGATGCCCAGCCCTTGTAGCATGTGACTTCTTTGTGAAAGGAGAGATTCTTTTTCGAGGAAAAACAGAGCCTCCTTTTTGACACAAACTGTAGATTTTAGCAGCCCTGGCCCAAAGGAGATCGATTGCTTTTGTTTTAAATGGTATAAAAGGGACACTATAACAGAAATCCTGAACAATTTTTTGTTATTGTTTTAGTTTGATTTTTCCTTTGGGGATGTCTTGAGAGTGGCAACTTGTGTGAACATTGCACATGACTATTCTTTCACTGGTTTCTTAGCCTCTCTTACAGCCTATGGGATAGTACTGTACATCAATACCTTCATATGAAATTTTATATGCAATGGAAATAAAAGCATGGGTTGATTCTGCCTAGTTACTGTATTTGATTTTCTTTTGCAAGTTAAATTTTTTTACATACATCCCATAGTTGTGACATCTTAAGAGAAAGCATATTTCCAGAATAATTTGATTACTGTGTTTTTGTCATCATACTGTTTTGCATAGATAACACAAAATAAAGTGGGGGCAAATCAGAAAAGTTAACCAAATGTGGTACTTCATAAAGAAGTCTAATCCACGGAGGTGCTATATAGTTATATAGAAAGGTGTTTAATCTCAGTTTCCAGGAAATTTTACTATTGCCTTCAGTGGCAAAAGCAGCCTATCCTGAGAAAATAAAACTTCAGCTTTAAAGAAACTAGAAGACTACAGATCGCCTAGAGGAGCAATACCCTGGGATACCACAAAGAAAAGAAAAAAAAGAGCACCATAGTTAAATATTGACCAGACAATCTCTGCTCTAAATGGATGATTAAAAGATACTATTTTTTAAAATAAAAATCACAAAAGACTGCTGTTGCCTTGAAGAACAACTGTGGTCTTAATGCAGGTCCAGCTCTTCAAGCAGCTTTCACATACCTCTCCTTGATCAGAGTGAGGGTTTTGTTGTTTGGGGGATTGCTTGCTTAACGGAAAATAGTTTCTGATAGAATTTTTTTGTATTCAATGTCCCTTTTTTCCTTAAGTCTGTTAGATCCTTCTTTGGTTTGGGGTCAGTTTGCAAAGAGTACCAATCCATAGGACTCCTTTTAATCACACCTTGGTGGCAGAAGCGGCTGCTAAGTGCTGTGCTGGGAGGATGAAGGATGCTGCACTCAGCACGGCGGGGCCGATAAACCAGGTGGTGCCTGTTGCTCTTGGCAGGCTCATGCTCACATGTTCCCAGCGACCCTAATGGGAGAATGGTTTGCATACATCGTGGTTATTATGAAGGGAAACGGGAATCCCAAATTCTTGATGGCACTACTGAAACCTTCTCAGTAAGGATCTTGGGTACCACAACCGTGCATGTGGTGAGCTTGAAGCTGTCCAGGATTAGCCCACTGCTTCCTACATCCTCTGGCAGCACTTTTGTCAGTCTCTGTGCTTGGCATTAATGTGTCAGAATAGGCAAGTTTCAGAGCAAAACCAAAATTGATCCCCTGTTTCACTGCAACCAGCTGCTGCTATAGGAGTTGGATGTATTTTTTTAATGACCGACTCCTCTATTTCCTAATGAGACAAATAGTCTGAATAGCAACTTCATTTGCTTGATCTCTCTGCTGCACTGAAAACAAGTTACAGCTGCTAGCACACACAGTGTTTACTAGAATGACCAGCCCAATTTCTCTACCAGCTGTGAATAATTTTGCTTAGTTTTTTCAGGAAGAAAAAAAAAATATGATGAATGAAAAATTCAAATATGTTATAAAAGCCTTTAGTTAGTTCAGTTTAGTTTAGCCTGCAAGGTAAAGAAAATCCCCAGCTTCCTCCTGTCAAACTGCTTGAGAAATCTGCAAAAGTAGTAAAGGGGGAGAGGAAGTCCAAACAGAAATCAGTGTGACAAACTGGGAACAAAACCTGGTCAGGGAGAAGCACACTCTAGCTAAAATAATCTCATTTTGTCAAAGGCAATCCCATGGCTTAGATATGGACATTAGGAGAACTGAGTTTGAGTGTGATTCTGTCTCAGTTCCCCAGGTTCAAAGCTGTATTTTTTCCTTCTCGCAAATCAAGTATTTTGAGGTCCTTGGAGTTACTGTGGTAGTAAGAACTATGTATGTATTTAAAATGGACATTTAGAAAATAAAGAATTGTTTGATACAAAGCAGAGTTCAGCACAGCTTTAAAGACTGAAAATGTGGGATGACTATCACTGCTAAACAAGCCCTTAGCATGGGAAGAGGAGGAGGAGGGTGACGACATCATACCTGGCTAAACAGCCCTTGGTGAGAGGGAGAGGGAGAAGGTACAGGACGCGTGGCCCCAGATAGCATTAACTGTCTAGTGCTGATGAGCTGTGCAGACAGCAAATGCAGATCAGAAACTCAGCAGTCACACTGCACGGTTGGTTACATCCAAATATTGAACTTCTCACTCCTACCAGCCCATAACCTGTCCTCCAGCATCCATGGAGTTCAGACGCGTACAATATCAGCATCTCTAATATGCAGCAGAGACCATTGTTTAGCTGAAGAAGGCTGGAAAAAGAGGTTATGCAGCACATAGTAATCAAAGTACAGTTGGCATGTGTGTTGTACATGTGTAGGACTTGGCTTACAGCAAAAGCCTGTAAGCCATCATTACCTGGGGCTAGACAGAGACAGTTACAGGTGGCGTAAAAACTTCAGTACCTTCTGATACTTGAAACTCTCCAGAAAACTAATACTTCAAATCTCTTGTAAACTTAAAGTTTTCAAAATCTTGACTGAATGCAGTGTTGACCAAACTAAGACCTGTGCATAGCCCATTGCATTCTCAGACTATGGTTAGTGGTTTACATTAGCTGTCCTGACCGCAGCTACGGGTAGACCTCCTAAACTGTGGTGTTAATTGAAGTCTGATACAAAGCCTGCTTGATACAAGGGATCACTTGAGTGCAGGGACACTGAGCAGTGCCCCTCCCCTGAAGAAAAGAGCAGGGCCAGCTGATGTAGAGCTGCCTTTATAATCCGGGTGGCTGTGGACCTCCCATGGCACCTGGGTTTGTTAGAGGGTCTCACATGAAGCAGTTCTTGGTTTTAGGCTCTTTGCAATGGCGTGGAAAGAACAGAAGTGGCCCATGCTGTGGAGTTTTAAAATTGTATGTGTATTTGTTACATGTACCACAAAGACAAAGCTTGCAGCAAACAAAGAAGCAGTCCTAGCCCTGCTTAAAAGCAATCTTGCTTGCTCTCTCACTTTCTCTCTCTCATTCCCCCCATAAGCTGGGGTCATATGTCCCTAATAAACACATGCATCTGGGGATAAGGAGTATGGGAAACCTTTAACAAGTGAGACACTATCAAGGGATCAGTGATACCGCGTGTATGTGATGATGCTGTGCTGATGGCAGCTGCAGAGAAATATCCCTTACAAAGCTGTGCCTGTAAAAGGGCTAAAAAAATGCTTGAGAAGCAGTAAATGGGAGAATAAACAACCTTTAGTATTGCCAAGGGTGTGATTGGAATCACAGTGCTGTTCAGGTTTGGTAGCAAAGCCTGGAGATGCAGTTTGAGGGGGGAAAAAATGCAATGGAAAAATAAGTTAACTCAGAATCTTGTTGTCTAGCAGTATTCCAGGAATATGACCTATTTACCTTATCCAAGGGAAGGTTAAGATGTGGTTTGATCATGTGGGGACAGAAATGTAATAGTCCCTCAGTCCATTTTTTGTCTAGCAGGCAAAGCCAGCTGCCGGCAAGGGAGCCAAATCACTGGAAGCTGACGTGTGGCAAATTCAGGCTGCAGGATGGAACAGTTGTGTCAGCTGGTTTCATTTACTCTTTGTGCTTGCAGGTTCCTCACTGGGGACCAGGACCTGAGGAAATGTCACTGATAGAAGCGAGCGATGTGCTGTGTGTGCTGGGAGCCACACATGCTGCTTAGTGCCACAGGTCCTCCCCTTCAGGGTATTTAATGATAGGTGCAGTTCACTTTGGTTTAGCTTTTTCTGGGAATGGGCTGGTCCTTTGTGCAAATGGTGGGGTTGGGGGTGAAGGAGAGGGAGGTGCTCTTTGGAAGGACTTTTTCTATTACAGTAAGTTTCAAACCAAAAAACGGTAGGCCTATTTATTGAAAAATAGTGAAGTATTTTCTCTGCAGGCAAAAAGCTTTCTGTCTCTATTTCTAACAACAGCCTCTAGTCGGACCTGATACTCTCATTTAACCTTCTGCATTGTTTGGCTCCTTCCCCACACGCTTGTAGGAGGGAAA